TGGGGAGTCTGTTTGAGATTCTTTCTCTCCCTCTACCTCCCCCCACCCCGCATGTGCATGTGTGCTCTCTCTCTCTCTCTTTAAAATAAATAAATAAATCTTAAAAAACAAAGAACAATAACTAAGGCTAATTTAAAAGTGATCTTATCTCACTCTCCTTTGTGCTTTTCCCCATCCCAGATTATTCTCTAGCATGTCTGTCTCTGCTTGAGGTCCCATCTTCCTGGTTCCTTATTACATGCAGAAGCTCCAACATTTCTTCCTCCGAAACCACATATCTGCAGCAGCATGAATGAGAACCTTTCTCACTAGCCCGAGGTCCAGTCTGAAAATGGGGCTGGCTCTTAAAGGCTCTGATGAAATTTCCCAAACCTGTCCACCCTGTGCTCAGTGGGAAATGGGAGGTGGAGTGTGGGTTCGACCTGAAAACAGATTGGACGTTGTTTGGCACGTTGAAATGATTGTCTGTCTAGGTGGTCATGGGAAGCACACTGTTCTGGATTTAGAATCATGGAATGTTAAGTTACAGAAGGATCTGAAATTCTTCTATCCAGCTCCCTCTTACACAGATGAGAACACTCAAAGCTAGGCAGCTCATTCAAAGTTAGTCTAGATCCGGGTCTCTTGAATTCCAGGTCAATATTTTGGTCCCTGCAGAATATAGGATTGGGGTTACCCTGAGATTGGGATTGAGTCCAGTCATTCTGCTACTCTCTTTCTGGGTCTGCTTGATCTTTCTAAATTGTGGCCTCATTCACTTCACTGCTTATTAAAACCATGGGTGATTTTCCATTAGCTCAGAACTCCTTAAACTGGCGTTCACACCTTTCACAGTTGACATCAATCTACATCTCTAGCCTTTGTTGGTCCTCCACAACTCCTCTGCACAAACTCCACCCTTCTGCCAATAAGCATCATCCTGCAGTTTCATTGTACACATTGTTCTCTTCATCTGGAGTTGCCTCCAGCATCTCTTCCCATTATATCCCTTCCCATGGGTTTCTGTCCAGCCGGGTGCCATCCCCTCAATCAGCACTGCTGTTATTGCTTCAGGTACTTAGTCATGGCCATGTCTTCAGTCTCTTACTCGATCAAAGGCTCCTTGAGAATAGGGATCATTAGCATAGTTTGCTGAATGTGGCCATTAGAGTGTGCTCCAAAAATCTTCGTTGTGTACAAGAATAAATGGCATCCTGCTTTCTGTGTATTCCAGGCAGTTCCAGAATTTTGGGAGGTGCTGAGAGATGTGAAGCTTGTGTAGGGGAAGAATGGACATGCTGAAAGTAAGGAGAGCCTTCCCTTCCTGAAGATCTTGGTCCCACGGTGTGATGGTGGCCATGGTGCCCATCCCACCCACGGTATCTTGACATGGCTGTCAAGGCTTCTGTTGGCACTTGTTTTATGAGTACACTGTGGCAAAGGCTCTGTCTGAGCCTCTTCCATAGCCCTCAGGAAGCCGTGTAGTAGAGTAACCATCACCTCCCATCTGTGCTTCTTGGGAGTCTCAGGGAAGGCTTACATTGTAGAGCAATTTCTGACATTCTTCTTGAGATACTCTGCTAACATCCAGACCCACATGATTACATTGGTGTTTCAAGCTCTTATCCCAGCCCCATTGGTGATGAAATCCACAAAACATTTACTGTGTCCTTTGATTTTTCATTGGTTGACCTAGGGCAGATATGGCATAAGTAAATAAGTTCCTGGTTTAGTGTTTTATCTCTCCCATGTCAGATCCTGCCAGGACAGGGAAAAAAGCCAAGGAAGAAGCTATCATTCTGTAATTATCTTGAATTTTTAAAATGACAGGTACCCTCATGGGCAGGCATGGTACCCTCCTTCCTTCACCCTTTACCCTCTGCAATGAGTCTGGTCTGGGCTGAATCAGGATATCACTGTCTATGAGAATGGGCATGAATAACTCATAAAGAGATTCAGAGGGCTGGCCTGGAAACCAAAGTCAGAGATTCTGTGCTCTCAGCTCACCTCCCCATGGGAGCATTTTGTCAGTACCCCCACCACACCTGTTCTTTCCTTAGTACCATCACCCCAGGACCCTGGAGCAGAAGGCCTTCCTCTTCAGAAATTGGCTTGGACTGCCGATAGGCATGGGTTGCTCTTTGGGCTGATGAAGATGTTCTGGAATTAGAGTGGCGATGGTTGCACAACTTCGTGAATATACAAATATACTTTGAAAGGGCAAATTTTATGGTATGTGAATTCGATTTCAATTTAAAAAGAAGTCATGGAATACTAAGACTTTGCACAACAAATTAAACTATAGCAGCACAGAAACTCCTAGAATACCACATGGACTCTGTCCTCAAGTGCTTTCTCTTCCCTGCGCCTGTGCAAAGGTCACGTTGTCTGGAGTGTGTTGGGGGTGGAGGGGATCTGATAAGTTTTATCCCCAGTTCTGATTCAGGCTGCCATGACCTTGGTCTGGGTGTTTACTTGTCCTTACTTCCACAGTTAAAATGGAAATAATGAGCCTGTCCTTTTTGATGAGGGTCTCCTGGGAAATTAAAAAAAAAAAAAAATGGTTTAAGTGCTTTAGAGTTACGAGGTGCTAGATTCCTTCTGAAGAGTTACAGGAAGGGTTGAAGTGGCACCCAATGTGTGTGGAATTAATCCCAGGCTGGCTAAGAGCAAGTGTGGGTAGGAGGCTGCACAAGTGTGGCTCTGGGTGATTTAATGATGGCGTTAGGTGCTCTAATAGGAACTGTTAATGCTTGTGATTCTTGTTCGGGGTGAGGAGACTTTTCGGTTTCTACTGCAGTGACAGAGAAAGGACTTGGGGGAGGGATGTTTTTCCCAGGAGGAATCTTCCTGGTGCTCCGAGGTGAAGGCTTGACCAGTGGTTGGGAAGGGGCTTGTGATGAGGGGGCTTGCAGTGACGTGTCGCAGGGCTGCTGCTGGGAAGCACTCCCGAGGGTCTCTTTTCACCTGGAAGTCTGGAAGGTCTCCTTTAGAGGAATGGCAAACTCAGGAGGCCCCTGTCACTCACTGCCTCACTCAACAAATGGGGCTGTGCTATGGAAAACCAAGACCCGGATGCAGAGGAGCCTCCAATTGTCACACTCTCTGCCCACTGCAGCTTCCTGGCTGCTTGTGCCAGTCATTTCCCAGAGCATGGGCAGCCTACCATCCCAGTGCAATGATGGAGTGTTCCAGGCAATTGGGCGAGGGGCTGAGGATGGAGGGGAGCTCTGATCGTCTTGTCTGTGCTGACCCCTCATCGTCCCTCACACGCCCATTTACTCTTCTCCCTGGTCTGGAGGTTGTTAGGAAGAGGTAGGGAATACTATCTGTGTCTTCTAGAGACAGGCTAATGACCCTGTGGCTCATATGAATTCTTCTCAATGAACTACCCTGAGAAGACCGGACAGTATTCTTCTTCCTCCTCCTCCGTCTAATCCTCCTACCAGTGTCTGAATGTCCTCTTCCCACTTCTCTGTTACAAGGAAGCCCACTCTCCCTTTAAGGCCCAACGCAAGTGTCTTCTTCTGAAAGGTTACTTTTCTCCCCCTTTTCCACCCTCAACCCAGGAAAGCCTACTCTCTCCCTCTACATTTCCACATGGTATCATTATTCACACGGCGTAACACCTGCCACATTCACATTCACTCAGCGTGGGTTGCTTTGGAGAGCTTGTTGAGGGACTCATTTAGATTAGTATTACAGTGCCTAGAACAGTGCCTGGTGCATAATACATGCCCAGTGGATATCTGTTAAGTAATGAATAAATATATAAGTAAATAAATAGAGCCCAACATCATTTGTGTCCTCCTACAAATAGTGAAAGATATTTATAAACTCCATAAATATTTAAAATGACTTCCCTCTTTATGGTGTGGTACTTGATGAGAATACTATTCTAAATGTGTCTTATTAAATCTTTTTTATGCCTATGGAATTTTTTTTTTTTTTTGGTCAAAGGTGATAAATTTTGGGAGAAGAAGCCATGCCTTTTAAAAAAATGAAATTTTATAAAGTCATGCATTGCCCAAGTGTGCTCAGCAGAATATTAGTTCCCCAGGGTGGTAATAGTTGTTAAGGAAAAAAGGATTTGGGGGCCAAATGAAGTTTAGGAAAGGCTAGATTAATCAGGTCTCTCTATTGTGGGATGTCTCAAAGCTTCCATATGATATTGCTCAGGAATATTAGCAAGAGAGGCACGTAATAACTGCATACTTCTGTAACAGTAGCTTAGCACCTACAGTGTGAGGTGCACAGTAGGGTTTTGGTATTTTGTTATTCATCGTTGGTGATTGTCCACTGTCCCCATCTAGAGCCCTGAGAGCTGGCCAGCGCTTCTGTCTGTAACAAGGGCCCACTTCTTCACCACCTTCTCCACATGCACCACCTCTGCTCTGCAAAGATGAGAGAAAAATTAAAGGGAATTAAAACATCACCTGCCACAGCAAGTATCACACATCTCCAGTGGGCTATGCAGCAAATGATTGTGGTTTTAGAAATATCCCGTCAGCCCCAGGTGCTCTGCAGTAACCTCTCAGGGCTCTTCCGGACGTGCCAGTTTTCAGCATAGTAATTACCAAACCCCTCCTTGGTAGATTCACTGGTGTCTAGGAGTAATTTCTAGGGAACTCACATTTTCAAATTTACAAGAGGCAAACAACCTTGTGTTCACCTCGGGGGGTTATCAGGGTATTCAGACTGTGTTGGGTAAAGGATGCTATTGATCATAGAAATATGGGAGAGAACTTGAATTTTCACCTTGGTGTTTTTCTCAATGGGTGGGAGCCTGGCTCACTAGATTATGGAGCAGAGACCTCTGGGGGATCATTCTCTTTTTCTCAGGGCCTCTTCCCTTCCTTGAGATTCGAAACAGCAGTAAACCTGTCCTAACTCTAGCTGGATTCCTTTGTTGCCTTTAACTGATGCTGGCTAATTGGTACCATTGTCTAGGAAGAAGATGAATAAGATTCGGATTGGTCCAGTCGGAATTCTGACCCGTGCCTTTGGTGTTTGTCCTCTAGAGATCTCAGGGAACACAGAGGACATCCCTCTGGTGCGCTGGAGGCAGCAATGGCTGGAGAACGGCACTTTGCTTTTTCATATTCATCACCAAGATGGTGCCCCCAGTCTCCCTGGACAAGACCCAACGGAAGAACCCCAGCATGAGTCAGCAGAAGAGGAACTGAGGATCCTGCATATCTCAGTCATGGTAAGCCGCATGGCTTCAGCCTCTCAGACCATAGCTGATGTTATCCTGATGTGAAGCGCCTTCGTGCCATAGACACAGCTCTACAAAACCCACTGCACAGTGATCGTTGATCACGTGAATAAGTAAACGTCCCACTTGTGGGAAATGTCTCCACCTGTGGTGAAGTAAAAGTTGCAATTATTTCTGTACCGCCATTACCCAACTGTTCTCTTTGGGAACATGCCTAGACATGGTGTGACTTTTACAGACAAGAGACAGTATCAGATGGGGGCAGTGGATTGTCTTAGAAAGGGGTTATTCAACTAGTATATCAGAATGTCTTATAATAGTTGCTCCATACATGTCTGTGGAATGACTGAGTTTCCAAGCTGCTTGCTGCTACCAAGCCCCTCTTCTCTCTTTTCCAAGCAGGGAGAAAGTCATCATTTGGCTTCCTCACCTCTTACAACGAAGGGCATGTTAATACATACTTGCCCTTCTCCATAGCCTAGCTCAGAATGTCACCATCAGCATCCCTTCTCCTTAGAAATTTGAGGCCTCAAGAAAATGAGAAGATTCTTTCTAAAATTCTAGGAACCTGTGTTTTAGAATCTCACTCGAAAGTAAGTGCTACAATGGCAGGCAGGGGTTTTGTTTGGTGGTGTTTTGTTTACTGATGTATTCTTAGCACTTAGAACAATGCATTCACATAGTTAATGTTTAATAAATATTTGTGGAAGAAATGAATGAACTTCCCCAGTGGAGATAGAAAATGCTTGTTTCACTTGTGGTAGATATTTTATGTATTAGTATTATATTGGTAAAACCAAATACATAATTTGCTTCTAGGGTAGCCTGAGAGCAGGCTGAGGCTGGACTGATTCTTCATGGGCCATATGTACGGGAAGGCATGGGTTGCTTCACATTTATGAAACTCTACAGAAAACCAGTCTAGGTCTTGGTCTAAACTCTATTACTCTGGCACCAACACTACAAGCTAGTTAGTTCTGTGTATCAGATTGGGAGAAACTGAGCACATTTTAGATATATAAAAATTTCCATCACCCAAATATTTGGCATTGAAACTCTCCCCATAAAATCTCCACTAAGACGGTATGTGCTATGGTGAGCGCTGTGAATTGTGTAAGACTGTTGAATCACAGACCTGTACCTCTGAAACAAATAATACATTATATGTTAAAAAAAAAAAAAGAAGAAGAAGAAAATAGCAGGAGGAGAAGTATGAAGGGGGGGAATCGGAAGGGGAGACGAACCATGAGAGACTATGGACTCTGAGAAACAAACTGAGGGTTCTAGAGGGGAGGGTGGGGGGGGATGGGTTAGCCTGGTGATGGGTATTAAAGAGGGCATGTACTGTGTGGGGCACTGGGTGTTATACGCAAACAATGAATCATGGAACACTGCATCAAAAACTAATGATGTAATGTATGGTGATTAACATAACATAATAATAAAAAAAATCTCCGATAAAATCTCAGAACATAAGTCTTCTACTTCTTCCTCAACTGGTGTCCCCATGAACAACTGGCTTGATAGACTACCTGCATAGACACAAGCTACATTATTTAAACTGTATGGTCAAGAAAAGAGCCCTTGAAGAGCAAATGGTAAACCTGTGTTTAGATGTGCTAGAAGGCAGGCAGGTGAGTGAGATTGTTATGCCTCACATTTACAAATTAATTGAGGTTTATGATATGGCAGTTACCCTACTTGTACATCCTTAATTAAAGACTAGCATTTACTTGCTCAGGGAAGCTGGTCTTCTTTAATGTAACTTGTAGTTTCCAAAGAGTGGTGAGAGCAGGCAGATCAGCTGAATCAACTCTGGCATTGACTGGAGGAGTGACAGATGTAGAGTCCCCGTTGTCTTCACATTTATGGTACGGTCTGATGGCAAAGAAGGGCACAGTGGTGGACTTCCCACCAGCCATTCCCATCCTCCCATCATTGTGGAAAACAGTCATTGTCGCGGGTGGTTTTTGTTTCATTTCATTGTGTTTCTTTTGGTCTAAGACCATTTCAAAGAACGAGTCATCACACCAAGGAAATGTTTAGGCTGTAGAAAAGTGTCTAGAGAGTCCCAAGAACTAATATCGGGTGTGATTGTGTCTGAAAGAAAGACCCTGAATACAGGCAGTTAAGACAGGCAATGTGTCGGAAGGTGTGTTTGGTGGGGGCTAGGGGAGAAGTGTGAGGATCCACGGGAAGACAGTCTAAAGCCGGTCTTAGTTTCTACGTCACATCTTAGTGTAGCAAGGATCCTACCTTCTGTCCTCAGAATGATGTGCTCCAGTAAGTTCTCTGGAGAAAAATATGTGTATATATGTATGTGTGTATATGTGCATGCGTGTTTGTGGGGGTGGGTCGCGGTGAGGATAGAAATGTGCTGGTCAAGGATGCCAAAGGATTTGAGGACATAGTTTGTTCCCTTAAAATATAACAACCCCTATGAAAAGCCCTACATTACTAATGCTTTTTTTTTTTTGATGTCTCTCCTCCCCGCCCGCCCCCCCGCCTCCCGGGGCAGGGATTAATGGACCATGGGCACTGAAATGGAAAGAGAACAGAAGTCAGCCTTCAGCCCTTTCTGAATCTTTCCTTCATATGCTACTGGTCACCCGTGGCAGGCCAACAATGACGTTCTGTCTTCCAAATAAAATGGAAGAAGTTATTCCTGCAGCTTTACTTTAGTTTATTCTATGTTATTTTTCATTAAGCTGGAGGGGAGAGAGGTTAAAAGTGCATGGGCAAAGAGTAGGGGCAGGCAAATCTTGTGTTGGTCTGGCTTGACCTCTTCGATGTTGATAGGCCCACATCTCTATGAAAAATTCAGGAAGGCCATTGACTTCTGTAAGAAAACAAGAATCCCAGGGGAAAGTGAAGATATAAGTACTCCCTCCCATCCTTGTCAAAGATGGTGTGGTCAATGGAGTCTCCTCCAGGCTGGCTTGCCGCCTTACCTTGGCCCATTCTCATTCCATGCTGTACACCCTCGCACATCGCCTCTCTTATCCTTCATATTCTTTTCTAGACACAGTTTCAAAGTCTAAAGTTGTGTGTCTGCCCTCAGCTTAGAAATCAAGCCTGAGGGTATCCCATTTGAAGATGTCATTCCTAGAATCTCTGATGGCTTCTTCTTAAGAGACTCAGGGACTGGTAGACTTTATCTGATACCCTTTATACCATATCTTTTGGAGGTAAAGTAGGCAGCCATTTGAGGCATCTGGAAAGAGAGCATTATAAATGTCAGAAGATTTTGTGGTCCTTTGACTAGTAATGCTGTTGGGCAGCAGAATGCACTTACATGAAATTTTATTACCCAAACCCTGTTAGTTATGAAATGACAATAGCAGAGCTATTTTTCATTAACTGTAACGATCGATACTGATGCGGTTTTCAGTTTGGATCCAAATAACATAATTTAAAAAAGAGAGAAGTTAAGGTGATTATCAAAACATGAATACACCCCAACCTTTTCTCTCTTGTTAAGAAAATGTATATTTAAAAGCTTAACCGGTAATTCTAAATATTTCCAATATGTGCTGAGGGAATTAATGGTTCTGTGAAAACCTTCAGGTTTACATTTCTCTCATTTTGTATTTATACTTTTCTCATCCATATTGCCTCAATGCAGGGACCCCTGTTTATTTTTATATTTTGCATTTACCATGTTTAGTTTTAAACACAAAGTATAAGTAATGAGAGACTGAGAGGCAAAGGAAAACCTTTTCTGTATCCATGTGACACTCTATGAATGAGAATTGGTGAATTCTCTCTTACACTGTGCTCACTATAAATATACCATAAGCAAAATTGTGGGCTTGCAGAAAACCAATACCTCAGCTGGGAACTTGGCAATTTAAAACTTTGAAAAACCTTTTGCTTTTCTTATTTTTCAATCGCATCCTAAAATTTTTGAATTATTTTTTCCAAAGAGGTACTCTTTCCCTCCTGAAATCGTATATTATTGCTTGTCAAACAATGGGTTTTAACCTCCTGCACAATTCCAATGAGGCTGAAGAGATTTATTTTGAATTTTGCAAGATAATTGACATTTAAAACTACTGAGGTACACAGGGATACTCTTTTGCAAACTCTTGAATAAGTGAAAGCAAAATCATCAAATGAAAATTGATGTGTGAATTTAAATCCAAAAGTCAAAAGAATTTTTCAGTGATAAGCAACTTGTTTACTCCATAGAACATCGGGTTTTAACATGACTTTACATTAGCTATTTAGACTCTGTGGATTTAAATTTCCATATTGTACTTTTGCTAATTTACCGTGTGATCCACATTTTTCATCTTAATGTATGCAAAAGATTTGAATGGTGCATAATAGCATTTTAATGTATTATCTATATATTTCATCTTTGTAATTAAAGACGGTGGTGTTAATAGACTTCCTATATGCATATAGGTTGGTTAAATACATTTTTCACAGCAAGTAACCTTTCAAAAATGCTTCAGTTTGATATATGTATTTTGTGGTCTTATCTCCCACTGGTTAGATAATCTTTCAAAGTTCAGCCTTCTTAGGCACAATTCACAATTGTGGGAAAAAATAATCTTTGAGCATTTGTCGATCTCCCTGAGGACTGTGTGACTAGAGCCCATCACTGAAGGCTGGGTGCCGCTCAAGACCTCTAGTCCCGGCTGGGTGGATCCCATTGGCCAGTGTCTGTAGGTTCCTGTGGCCCCCCAACTGCTGGCTTCTCGGGTGTTTCTAGGCACCTTGTTTCTGGGAGCCCCAGGTGAGCCCTGGACACACAGTTTTCTTCAGGGAGAAACAGTGTAAAGAACAAGGTTCTGGGACAAAAGAGGCCACAGGTGCTGCTGTGGAGTCCCAGCGTCCAGGAAATAGAATGGGCATTTCAGAGAAGTTCCATCCTGGGGATGTCATACTTGGGCTGAATCAGTACAAAGCTGAGGGAACGTACCTATGGGATTCTCCAGGATTGTGTTTCTAGAACTGTAGACAATTGTGTGCATCCTTACTCA